TTTGAAAAAATTGGAGCCGTTTTTAAGAAAATGGCGCTCATGTGCTACTGTAAATTCGAAATCTAAAACTTTTTCACAGAAAATGTTTGAGTTTTTGAAAAACTTTATTAGAAGTCATTTAACGCACATTAACTCACAAATAAAATACTGTTTACAAATTGGTGGAAATGTGCATATTAACGGCGTGAGAAATCTTTTGATCAAATCATATATGAAAGAGTGCAATTAGCACTATCCCTTCGAAAAGTTTAAAGAAAAACTGGAGCCGATTTTGAGAAAATAGCGTTTGAGCGCTGAAAATGCGGAATTTTGTGCTAGTTATCACAGAAACGGTTGAGTCTTCGAGAAACTTTATGACATTATTTAAAGCACGTGTACTCATAAATATAATGATGTGAACAAATTGCCACTAATATAAATATTAACATGGCAAAAAGTCCTAAAAACTACATTTTTGTAATTTTATAAAAACAAATGAATATAGCAATATGGCGTTATGTCATCTCATAGAGTGCATTTAGAACTATCCCCACCAGAAGTTTAAAGAAAAAATTTGAAAATCTGACCTATGCCTATTACTATTTTGTAAGTAATTTATTATCACAAGAAATTTAAAGAAAAAATTTGGTGATGTGTTTGAAAATGTCCGAGTGGATTAATGTATAGTGACCCCAAATTTTGAAGAACGTTTTTCAAAATCGTGGCGTCTCGAATAGAGCCAGATCGAACGGGGAATATACGTTTTGTAAAAAAGTACGTATGGTTTCGGCGCTAGTAGTGTTCACAGATAGACAGACGGACAGGACGGATGTTTTTTTAAAAAAAAAAAACGTTTGTCTACCAAGTGGCCTTAATACGTATTTCTGTTGAAATCTCGAAATCGATTTTTCGCATAACGTCCTATATACTACTGTAAATTTCTCCGCATACGAGAAAGTAAACATATTTTATAGCTAATATCTACAACCAAACATAATTAATTGATATTAATTTTTTTACCTGCCATTTCCGTACCTCTATCCTAAGCTTTCCTACATTGTTTACTTTCTTTATTTTACTAGACGAGCCATGGAGGAATATATAGTAGGAGGGGAAAATCTCGCTGTTTGAGAGTATAGACTAGATGATTCGCTAACATCGTTTTCATGTGGTGGCATTGATTTTAAGGTTAACGCGTAATGTCAAACGCTACTTCGAAAATTTGCCCGTCAGGAAGCGGTGCAAGCTTTCGAAACTTCTACCATTCATTTCATCCTTGAATTTCCTTTCCTCCTGGTGAAGAGGGTGTTGCACATGGCAACATGGTTGTTAGTGATAGTTCGCTGCAAACGATGGCAGCGGCGCCGATGGTGTGACGGTTAGCATACCGGACTGTTATACCCAACCTCGCGGGTTCAAACCCGATCGAAGCCGTGGTTTTTTAGGGCGACCTTCGTACGCCTTCCTTCGGAGGGGAAGCAAAGCCGGCTGTCTCATGTTGGTAGATTTACTTGCATGTAAAAGATCCTCAAGGCTAAATGACGTAGCCTCTGAGCGAAATTTAAAATTAGCCTGTTTCTCGCCCAAGAAATTCCTCTTTTCTCTGCTAGTTGATGAAAGGAGCGTAGCGAAATTTGGGTGGTCAGGCGGAAGAGCGGGCCTGATGGCCCGAGTCTCGCCACGTAAAATAAGGCAAATTCAATGGTTGGTTGTGTGCTTTGTTATAAAGTGTTGCAGATCACGATGGCGAAATGTCGAGTTCCCAGTCGCCAACGCAGTTCGGGAAGATAAAGAGAAAAGTTGCTTCACGTTTCCCTTTAGATCGGGAAGGTGAGTGAAATATTTCGAGTTATGATAACGAGTTATGATATCAAGTGTATTGGGTTTAGTTCGTAACCTGATTCATTTCCATCGAGTATGGTGTTATTTCGTACGTTTCAGACACCTTAAGAGTTTAACAAGCTATTGTTTTATAAAAGTAAGGCGCAAAAATGTAAAATCCGTAAAATACAAGGCCTGAGAAATTTGAGTTGTTTCTGCATTAGATTTTTCAAATATGTTTTCATTACAGGTTCCAAAGTGGCTTCGGTTCTGCAACCTGAAATTTAGAATCCGGTCAGCTGGAGAAGACAGAGAAGAAATGGACTGAATTGCAGAAAAATACCCTTGGGTACGACAGTTTTGAGGAATACCACTGATTCTTTAATAAATAGACAAAACAATTGTAGTATTCTAAGCTTAATAAAAGTTTATTATATACAAAAATTGTCACTAACTTTCCACAATTCTTAATGAATATTAGCCTAAAAATCTTGCCAGTTTATTACCCATTCAATTGTATGATCTGAATGAAAATGTGATGAATTAGAAAAAAATAATATGCGTTTTAAACTAACAACTTACAATCGTATTAGGATATGCATCTTTTCCAATCTAAACTGCAGGTCTCGAAGAGGATAAAGAATCGTAAGGTCCAAATGAAATGTTGCTGTGTTTGTGTGTGGATGAATATACTAGAATCTCTTCCCCTATCGACAATGTTGTGGAAGGAATTCGAAATTTGTAATAATTTTTAGTGGTGCCAAAATAATGAGCTTTGTAGGCTTCCGTAATTCAATAATTACAAATTTAAAAACCACATATTATCAGGCTTAATGAAATATTAAAAAATATGTTAGTGCTATGATAACTGTACAAATTCCAAATGTA